AAATTCGCTGTTTAAATGCAAATAAAAATTGAACGTTGATCGAAAAAACAGCGTCACTATAAATAATAATTTTCATAGTTTATATGATTTCTTTATGTTAAAATAAATTTAATGAAGTCAAAGAGAATCGTTTAATATATTTTTATAGCACGTTTTCTTCCATTCGAATTCGCTTTTCCACTCGAGTCGGATTAAAATTCTCTCGCATTTACGGATTATCCCAAGTACAGCCGCGAACGTTTCGATACACGTTCATCCCCGACTGGAGCTCGCTTTTTGCTCTCGCCTTTTTTTCATATTCGAACAGAGAGGGTAAAGAATACGGTGGCTCGTAACGAGGGATTAAGGGAGAACGCGTATAATCTAGCCGTGGTCCATTTTCCGAGCCTTTCCTTAAAAGTCTCCGTAAACTGCTTATCTTAGATAAACCGTAGAACGAAGCAGGAACAACCTTAGTTAAAATGGAGACAATTTTCCATGAAGCGAGACGAACGAAAGGAGTAAAAAAATATAAATTATTTAAATCATGATCGTTTAAAAACGATAACGAAATAAACGAAAACAGAAGGGTGATCGATGAATGAAATGGGGGAGGAACTAATTTCGTGAATGGAGTATCAATAACGAGAAAAACTCGCAGGACTCCGAATCGAGCCATCGGATCCGAAGAGATCAATCAACGGTGTGACAAAAATTGTAGAGGTGGACCGAAACCCTGTAACAATCGATCTTCGACGTTTGTACAACGAGAGTTCACGCGATCCTGGAATAGTGAACGATACCTCGACGGAGGTTCTCTAAAAGAGTGCCGCTCCAGCGTGTGACACCTGCGCTTCGTTTCCCTAAGAGGAACCATGCTCTGAGGTGAGATGGGAAGGGACGTCGATTCTAGGGAGATCCGGGGTGACGATAAGTGGGCGACGATAAAAAGAAACGATCGTACGAACTCACCTTGTTCCCGTGTGTCCATTGGAACGTCTGCCGCTGCTCTCTTCGTCCTCGTCGTCCTCGTCGTCCCTCGAGGTCGCCAGCGAGTGGGGAACCGAAGAGGGTGCACTACTACCGGAATCAGGCCCCGGGCCCATCCTCGAACCGGAAGCACCGCTGCAGCCTGCCGAGGACGTCGACAGACCACCCCCTCCTCCCTGGCCCTCCTCGTTCTCCGCACGATCCACCTGTAATTCAATCCCGTTCCTCTTATCAAATACACTGACGTCTGATAAGAACTTCCTTATCATTAGTTACGTGCTTCTACTCTGGTTAAGCTATCGCTTTCATTCTGTTTAATTTATTACTTACTACAAAAATATTCAATTTTATTACTGTACCTTAGATTCTTTAAATTCGAACGAAATAAGGGAAACATGGAATACAGTTCGAATGGAAAACTTATTATCAGTATACAGACAGAGGATTAAACGTCGCTATCTTGTTACATTGACAGAATGCAATTACAATTAATCGGTTCGCAGTCCGGTCGGTGGCTCAGTTGATTAATTATTCCCAGCAGATGTTGATAATGGCGAAGAACTAACAGAAACAGCGCGTCGCCTCAAGTTATAATGCGTACAATTAATAGGACACACCCCTCCTACCCCCTTTCCATGAAATCGGGTCAACCGGCTAGAGCAATTTAATTGTCCGCAACGATGACTATCAACGAGAATTCAGAATTCACTTCTCTTCGAAACGTGACCACCTGAAGAGACCTAAACCCCCCCTCCTCGAACATATTAATGATAATATTGAGAAGTTGCCATCTCGAGTTCCTAACGACTTAACACTAGATTGCCCAAGGAAGTAATTTTGACTGGTTTTGAGCAAATGTACAAATAATAATGCACAAAATTATTTTTTTTCCCAAGTNACCTTCTTCTTTCTTGATTGAATAATGAGCAGGAATAAATTATGTGTTCTATTGAGTTGGCTTCGTTGCAGTTTGTACAGTTTATTTTGTTTTTTGATTAAGTATACGTGGATGAAGTTTGTATGTCTAATTCTTATCCTATTTAATATCGTCGTCATTACTTCGTTTGGGAATCATTGAACTTGCAAGGACTCATTAAGGGACCTTACTTTTAAATTATTAACTATTTATATTGTTATTGATCCTCACTCTCTTTTTATACTTATTTGTAAGCAAGTATTGTTATATTTTTGTTATAGGTATATACTAAGTTTCAGTCTTTCTAGTGTTAAAAACGTGCTTGTCGTTCGTCCGATTAAAGTGAATTAAATTTATTTATTCACGTCGGACATTGAATGATACGAAACCGAATTTATCTAAATTTCAAACTACAAACTTTCGCAATCGTAGCATGAATTACAAAACCAGTTTGAGCATAATTTTGTTTCTACATGCAATTATATGTACTCCCCGGGACGTCTGGCAAACGGTACGAATGAACGGGGCCAACGGGTGAATTATAATTGACCAAGGTGCACTGCGGTTGCACTCTCGCCTAGAGAATTAATCATCAAGTTCGAGAGGTGTGATCGAGCACGTGGGAAACGGAAAATATTGCCAGCAGTTGTACAGTCGATTCGTCTTATTGTATATCTC